ATGTGTATGTATCTACATATGTTATATGTAGTTTCGGGTTCGTTATGTTGTGGCATAAATAAAGTATCCGTTAAAGGAATAAGGGATTCGAAAAACTTTTCCTTTTATTCGTGTGTGCTGTTGACTCGTAGGACGGTGAATTCTAGACTAAATGCTATACGTGTTTATTTGCAGACTTGCGTCTTTTGATAGAATGAAAGTTCAGCGCAGAGATTGTGTGCTTGGCACCCTGTGATGTTTCATGTCGCATCGCACATAGCGAACGATATCTTATGCAGTTGGTGCGAACAGGTCTTGATGTTAGTACAATTGGTGTCACGTCATGATTGGAAATTAGAGCTATGGGAAGCCACGTAGCTGGGCCGATTCTCGGACAGATACGGATGCAATAGTACAGCGTATCTGCGTTGCAGAATGCTGCAGTGAAGTTGTTTTTTACTGAGTGCACCGCCAACTTCGTAACTCAAGAACGAGCTTCCAAGCTCAACATTCTGCTAGCAGCAATAGTCATTCACTTAGAGCATTCGAGACATCACTCTTGCACGGACCAGAGATTGTCCGAAGCTGGCGCCAAAACAACTGTGCTCGAGCGTCGTCGTGACTACAGCTAAGTCGACAATCCACCACTACCAACAAGCTCTGTGAGGTGAGCATACAAGAATTACATCGAATCCAAGCCCTCACGCAGGTTATCAGCCGTATAGACGGCTTGTCGACAAGAAGGTAGTGATCGACAAGGCATGACTCCAGAATGACATCTGGATCGAGTGCGGGTACGACAATGACCTTCGGTGATGGCGCAATCGCTATGCCAGCTGCCGGGATTCCACAGCTGACGAGCCAGTGTCTCAGTCCGTTGACAGTTCGACTGCGGAAGAAGACAAAGCAAAGCCTTCTACTTCCGAGCCATCAAATCCCACGAAAAGGACCAGATCTTCACCGAGGACGAGTCCAGCGTCACGTCCGTCATCTTCAAATGCAAGGGCAAGGTCATCAGTGAGAAAACCGTCAAAGACGGTGATGCAATGCTTACAGCAAGCGAGAAGAATAGGAGATCGTGATGAAAGTACTTCAGAGAGGCAGCGACCAAAGTCGTCGAGGGGTACTTCACGGAGATCCATGCCTGCAGCAGTATCCAAGAGGGTATCCAAGAGAGCGGATGATCTGTCTATGTCACCTACGTCAAGACAGCATTCAGCCCGTAACGCGGGTATGCGAAGCCCAGTCATGGACCCTAACGACCCGATGCTTCAACTCCATGATGTCGCGTCCTTCCGATACTGGACATCCCCAGATCTGACAATTCTGTGACCGAAACCGCCATCCAACAACTGGAGCTCGCACGAGCGAGGATACAGGAGAATCATGATATGGAGATGCTACACCATCAAACGGTCGCGCGTACACTCATGCAGAGGATCGAAGAGATGAGTCAGGCCGCTGTGGAGCAACTTTACGGATTGAAGAACTGGATCGGCAACGAACATGTCTGCAAGGTGCAAGGAGGCACATGAACGAAGTACATCAAAGTTCGAGAGGAGAATACGAATTGGCATTATTCAAACTACAAGAAGTGAGCCAGCAGCAATGCGCACATGACCACGAAGTCAACGAGTCACTGGTGGCGCAGCTAAGTCACTTTCGGAGTGAGGCGGCATCTAGCTTCATTCAGTTGGAAGAACGCACACAAGGTGAAGGATTGAAGATGGCACGCGAGTATGAGAAGCTCACGAGCGAGTTGAATGACGTGGCCAAAGAGAACATGCAGCTCAGGGCGAAGCATTCATCCGACGAAGTCACCATCCGGAAGGTAACGAATCGATTACAAGCCATGAAGGATGAGGAATACTCTGCCGTGAGTGAAGCCCAGATGGAAGTGGCGGATTGCAGCCTGTCGCGCGAACGCTTGGTACTGCAGCTACAAAAGGCAGAAGAGGCACGGTCAACAGCAATATACAGCGGATGGAGAACGCAGAAGTGCAACTTCAAGCGCAGCCCGGCGAACGACACGCACTGGCTGCCATTCAGTCCGAGTTGATGGAACTTCGACGAAAGCTGAAGAACAACGAGGAAATGTGCGAGAAAGTGAAGAATGAGCTGCACATGCAACGTCGCTTCCCTGTTCAGCCAGGCTCTCAAGCTCCGCACTGGATGCGTGCGTGTAGATAAGGTTAGAAACTCCGACTTTCCTGATGGACCGAAGCCCTTCCAATCGGGATAAGACTGTCACTGATGCAGCAAGGCCGAAGCTTGTGCAATATTGGCGTGATGCCCAATCAAAGCCCGATTCCGTGGTCCATTGGTGCCTCAGAGCTCTTTGGACACACCTGTCCTGAGTCTGTTTGCCGGACGAGAATAGCCTCAACCAGATGAAGGTACGAGAATGCGTGACCGGAAATTGTTTGAACTACTTCAAGGGCTGGGCATGAACAACCGACCTTCTTCCTCATCATCGATGTCGGCTCTTGATGATACGCATTCGTGCCGAGGCACGAGGTACGACCGTGTATGCTAGCGCTATACTTCCTACCGTGAAACATCGAAGGTGTTTCGGCTAGTTAAACATCGAAGGTGTTTGCTAGGAAACATCGCAGGTGTTTCCGCTAGTTCGAAGCATTCGAGCTATTGGGGTTCACATGGCCGAGAACGTACATGCTATGTCCGTGGCCATTGTGCTAAAGAGCCCGAGGGGGGCAAATTTGAAGTGGGGTTGGAAAGGGAACAGGGCTAATTAGCCCTGAGCCCGCTAGTGAGGAAGGGGACCTGGCCGAGGAGCCGACTGGTCCCCGAACTCCCCGCTGCGCTCCCCGCTGCGGTCGCCGTCTCGTGGATTCCTTGGAATCCTTTGGATATTCGCACTTGGCGATCCACTGCCTGCTTCAAATTTGCCAAGTCAATGTCGCCGACGGCGCCTTCACGCCAAAGGCAGGAACACCAGGAGTGTTCAGACGGAAGCAAATGCAATCCCACATGTCTGCAACTTGAAAACTGGTGATGTTTTGAAGCTGCAGCGAGTTGTTGGCTGTGCCCGATGCCAGGAACATGTGGGCAAGCTCAGTGCACAGAGGCAGCGGGATGCTGGGCTCGGCTTCATTGATGCGGTTGGCGAGCTCTTCCTGCTCACTGCAGGGAGAGGCTGACTTCTGGTCAGTGAGCTCGCTTGACCCTGTCCTTGGTGTTGGCGATCTCAGCGATATTGTCACGAGTGTCGGCCTATTTTTCAGAAACACAGCGGGCAGCTTGGGCAGGTTAACTTGCTATTGGTGGCCTGCCCCTCCTGCTTGGTGATGTCAGGTGCTTGCCACCGGGTTGAATGAGCGCCGGCTTGCTGCGTGCTGTATGCCTGGCTGAAGGTGACGGGGCCATGCTGCAGAGTATTATCCTGATGGCCTCCATGATCTGCAAGCGGGTAGCCAGGGCCCGATACCAGAACATTTGGAGCGCGAGCGGCTTGCGTGCCTCTCTCGGTGGGCAGGACTGCGCGTTCTGCATTCACGGCGGTCTCTAGGGCGCCCGTGGTCACGCCTTTGCAGATATCTGCCACTGGAGTCAGAGCGTCTGCGGGCATGCGGGATCGAACGCGTCGATGCCCGCGGCTGTCAGCACTTCTGGTATGCCGGCGTCGATGCTGAGAAACACCACGGTGCCGGCGCCTGTCATGGTGGCTTGACCGGCGTCCACGAGTGGATTGCTGCTGGGAGTTATGTCTGCGTCGGGAGTCGCGCTCCCGCCCTGCACTCCTGTGATGCTGCTGTTCATGGCCAAATCCAGGCATGCTACGCGGCATTGCTGCAGAATGTGGCATACTGGGCATTGGCACCGTATGGTACATCGGCCCATTCGGGGCCGCATGCGAAGGCAGCACAGGGTTGCACGTCGAGATACCTGGACCCTTTCCGACATGAACCTGCAGAACGTCGCTCTTGCATCAGACGTCGACCCTTGCGCCAGTGCCGGAATGAACAACATGATGGCATCGGAAAGCTTCGGTGAATGATCCTAAAACACATGGTGGTGATTGACACAATGACTATCAGCTTGCTCGTCGGCGTCCCACATCCGCTATCGCGGGCTCCAGCGTTTCCGGCTGTGATCTGGCCCCATGTCGGGTATGCCGGAACAAACACACTCAGGCTTGGCGAGAATTGATGCGATGAACCCTGGAGTGCATGATGTGAAATCAGATTGCAGCAACCATGCAGGAAAGCGCTCTAGGATTGGTTACTCCAGTGCCTCAGGGGGCCCAGTGGCTAATCCGACAGCAGGTACGTCTGGCTGATCAGGCCAGATATCACAGCACTTCCATCACCGTCTTGGTTGGGCAGTGAATGATGGAAGGCTCACTGCACCCCTGATGCAAAGTGTGTCAACCAACTCGCCATGTTCAGGGGTGTACACAAACACACGCACGCACGCAGTTATAGCGCACAAACAGATGCAGCAACGCATCTGTGCCCAGCCTTGTCGCCGAGAGCTACACGTGCGGATCAGGTTCCGAAGGACACCCTGCACCGGATGGAAAAGCTGGAGCATGTCACTGCTTCACACTTGCTGCATCCCTGCCAGACACTCTTGCACCTGCATTGGTTTCAGTGCAGGGCTCCATGCTGACTTAAGGCAAGCACCTTGCAGAAAAGAATTTATACCACCGAATTCAGAAGATCCGCAAGGCACGGCTTGGCGGTGAAGAAATTGTCGTAGATTTCGTTGCGCACTGCCAGATAGCTATGTTGGAAGCAGATTCCGCGCTTGTGGATCTGCACACCAAGGATTGTCACCTTGAACATATTGATTGTCGCATTGTGCATGATGTGCTTGTCTTATCCTCCTGATCGGCTTCACTTCGTGAGGAGCTGGCGACGGCTCAAGAAGTATTTCGGTCATGCAGGTTCTGCTTTTCCTTGATCGCTGAGCAAGCACTTTTTGGTATGACAGATCGCGTGCCAGGTTCCACATTCATGTCATGCCTGCAGGGGCTAAGGACCCTCAGGTTTTGCAGCGTGAACTCAGGCGCTAGGTTTTTTCGATGATATTTTCGTTCTTGCGTGCTTCGTGCTTGCCAGGGAACGGTCTAAGCATCGCCGTGGAGATCTCGGAGCATGTGGCGGAGGCTAGGAAGCCCCGACTCTGCTGCGGCTTGAGGTCTGTCTGAGTCGTTTATGGACTTGGTGCGGGACGGCCTGAACAGCGTGGGTGATGTCCATGGCGCCATCCTTACTGGGCGCTTTGGTGGGGCTGTAAAGAAACCGCCAGAGCGGCATCTGCGCAGATTGCAGTTCCCTAGGGCTGTGCACCGATGCGGGGTTCGCCTCGGACTACTTCCACTGCTACTGGTAGGGTCAGACATGACTAGTTTTCCGTGATCTGTCGTGGTCTACTCCAGTTGGGTGGCGTACAACTCTCTCAGGCAGCTACAGCCGTGCAGAAGTAGACAAGGTACCAACTTCAAGATGAAGACCGGCTTCACACCGGACAAGGCCAACGACGTCCAGGCGGCAGCCAGTTGGTATGAGTTGTTTGGAGTTGAAGTGAGGCCATCACTTTACCTTTGCATGCGCAGGACAAGACCTTCTTCAATCTGAACAATCCGACCGAGCAGGATCGATTTCATTGGAACTACACATATGAGGCAGGTCACGTTCTGGCCAGTACCCCGCCTCGCCTCGAACATCCCTCAGGCCAAAGGCACGCAAAACCCTCAGTACAAGTACACCTTTCCGGGTGGAACGGCGTGGCTCAGGCGCCTGCATGAAAAAGGGGGGGGGGGGCGATGAAGAAAGTGATGGCCTCGCGACTCGGAGGCTCTTCAAGCCGAAGGTGCATGCGTGGCTCGGGTTTACGATGAACCTGAGTAGTCACATGCCGGACATCACGCAAGCGCCAATGCCCGAGTCGCATTGGTGCTCTCTCCTTGTCGGGGGCGCATGTGGGGAAATCGCTGAACACATCGAGGCCACATGAGACAGTGGACATCCTCGTTCAGAGTCCGACTGCTCAAAGAGTCACACGCCAGTATTGACACTGAATCATGGCTCCCATGCCTCAGGCTATGCAGACCTCGACCTAGATATTGGCACAGCTGCTGACTTTGACGAAGACAGGTCGCGATCCGCTTGAAGGGCCGTCTGTGGCACTGCTTCTGGGCAGGTCTTCCTCCGTGCTTCACAATATGCTAGACGTCTTTCCTATTCCGATCCTCAGCAAGCTGAAGTCTCGGCCCCAGCGATCTCACAACATGACACCGAAGTGGAATCAGAGTTTCGGAGAGGACGGATACAGCGCAGTTTATGCGCCCCTTCACCTTTCACATAGGCCTTGCCTCATTGCTTTGCATGGGGCGATGGTACTTCTTGCGTGTCGGAGGTGGAACGCCGATTACGGTGACCCCAGGATGGAGCATCAATATGAAGGCCAACTTGGGCTTCATGGATTATTTTCCTGATGTTCAGTGCCCTAAGATCTTCCACATCGGACAGCTCAAGGGCACCATGCGAGTCGGCAAGGGCGCTTAGATTTCGACGGGAAGGATCCTCTTGTTTCGGTCTATCTCCGTTGATTTTATCTGAACTCTTGTGAGAGCTTCTAGGACGTCTTGCTTCGATCCGAGGCCTGGAAACGAAGCTGCTCAGCCGCGGGACGATGCACTTCGACACGGCACGGTGCCCAAAGCCCAACGCATATCCATCATCTTACCGCATCTGCGTGCGACCCAAGAGTGGCAGTCACGGTCTGGTGTTGGCTTCTGAAGCTGCACTCAGACCTTCGGAGAGCAGCACAACTTCTCTGTGGAGATGAAGAACGCCAGGGGCTTCTTTTTGACAAGAGATAGGTTGGAGTGACCAGATTTTGGGCAGGGGCAAAGAGGGTTCTTTTGGCTCAGAGCTTGGAGGCCCTGCCTGTAAACAGAGCTGACCACGAGTCGCTTGCCACTGCCGTATGGGACGGGTCCATGCTTCGCATCGGAGTATCCTTGCAACATCGCACTGCCTTTTTTTAGCAATGCTTGCCGCTCTGCATTCAAGTCAGCCTGTTCAGAGCACTGGATCTCAGCATGGCTGGCTGTCAAACTGTCCCTGCTGCCTGATAGCCGTTTCAAATGCTGGTTTATCTCTAGCATACGCTCTTGGACAGCGATTCTTGCTTTGTCCGCTTGTGGCATTCCAGACATCTCTCATTCGTTCGCTTCCCTGCTGCCCCAAAGGCGGACAAAAACTGCTCCAGCATTTTGCTGATGAGCATGCTGCGAAAGCTTGTTGAGGCTTTCCACGGCTCGGTTTCCTCGACGCGAGAGTAGTTTGATATCGCACACAGTATCGTTGAATGCTGCCGCAGTGGATACTTCCAAGTGCGGTCCCGGCCGGGCATGTTAGATCCCCGAAACAGGAACGGAAGAGAGGCGAGTTCGGAGGCGTATGGGAGATGTTCGAGCATGGCATGTCCGCAGATGTACCGAGTGTGCTTTACCGTTGGACCTTCGTTTCCATCAGTTGGCACACTTTGTCGAGAGTGTAGGCACGGTTAGGACTGACTTTGCACAAGCCTCGCAGAGCTGACTTGGTTGCTCAGGTCAACTTTACTTCTCCAGCCTGGCTGCTCTTCACGAAGCACTTTCAGTCCGATTCCAAGATTTCCGTTCCAATTTGCAGGCGAGTTTCTGAATCTAGAGGTTGGGCGTGGAATTCGAGCCAAACGTGCCGAACTCAGGAGGAGTCCTGCAGAGCAAGCCAGTTGTTAACAGTTTGGAAGATTTCTTCTCGGAGCAACTTCTCAGTGCAGCTTTGCACTCGGACGTTCTGTTAGCTTGCCACACTTTTGCCGGGGCTCAAGGGTGAAGCTAAATCCACTTCTTTGTCCTTATTCCCTCGAAAATCGTCAAGCTGTCCGCTGTCCAAACATCAGATTTGCGCCTTCGTGCAGTTCCTCATGCCAAACAACCCAATAAACATGAATATGGCTTCAGAAAATTGCGTGTAGCTTCTGTATCGGCCTTCAGGGTCCGCGGTCCCTTATGCTGATGAGTTCGATGATGGTCGTCCAGCAGCACGCATGAGCTTGAAGCAGTGGAAGCATTGGGGCTGGTCTGCATGGCGCAACTCGATATTTAGATGTCGTTCTCGATCCTTCGCGAATCGCGGAGGGTTCGATTGTGTGCGCTGATTGATGCAGGTGCGCAAGGCATTGTGACGAAAGTTGTGTGTATGTCATACTGTCCGACGCGAAGAAAAGTCTATCGGATGCATCTCTCGAAAAGGACACGTGCATAAGTGCATGCATATATCATGGGAATCGATGTATATCAGGAATACTCTTTTTGCTTGAAGCGATTCATTTGCTTGTTTTGTGCCTTCCGGCACCTTTCTTGGGCGAATCAACACTAGCATGAACACTGGAGCTACGTGTGTAGACGAGCGCTGGCCATTCGCCTGTTCTTCATGCTCTGCGAAAAAATACGGTGACGGCTACGACACAGATATGGCTTCAAGCCTTGTCGGGGGAAGTTGCTCGGGTTCCTTGACTCCTTCCGTGGAATGTTTGCCAGCATTGCACGAGTTGCATTGCATCATGTTGCCACTGCGCCTTGTTGCCGAGATCTGGGTGAAGGGCGGCTTCGGATTTCTGCAGGATGTCGAGCTGGGTTTCGGCTTCAGGCGCAGCTTCAAGTTCGGAGAGCTGTGATGTCAAAGCAAGCACTCTGTTGCTTGAGAGGCCGTACTGCAACATTTCCATCACGGAGCAATCGGATGAAGCCCTCGGAGGGCCTGGACCCGATGAAGGAAGTCTGCATCTTTCTGACGCTTTGTGCTCGTAGGTCCGAGACGAACCAGCTCGCCATTTATCCATATCGTGTAGTGGGCAGCGCTCTCAGGAAATCCTAAACCCAAGCACTCCTGCTTCGGTAAACGACCGTCGAGATGTCACAGATCATGTCTGCCTCAACACCCCTGCAACAAACGTGGTGAAGTCTTGATCAGAGGTCTTCCGTTTGGGAGCTGTTTCGCCTTGAAGATCAGCTGGAGACTCAATGACGATGCACATTTCATTCTCATTCGCTGTTTTGCCACATCGGCCCACCTTTCTTGAGGTGCCAACGGGCAGTACAAGACCACGTCGTCCTTGCACATTTTCTTTGACTTAAGTATACCACAAGTTCGATTCTTCCTGCCATGCAAGCAGGGCGTGCCAAGTGAGCGTTGGTGGAGTCATTCGTTTCCAGAACAAGGTCGAGGCAGGATGCTCTGCATTGCGCAGCATGGGGTTCAAGAGCAAAGGCAGCAAACAACACTGACAGCCGTCACCTAGCATGACACGAAAGTTTCCTTGAAGCATCTTGCCGAAGAGGTGATTGCCACACTTCTTTGCAGGTTTCTGCCGATGTGGTCTCAATGTTGGGATTTTCGGGGGATGCCTTCCGCCGCACACGTGGAGACACTACGTGGGTCCCGTAGGTCCGTTTGCACATTCGGGACTGTTCTCACCACCTTGCAGATCTTCGAGTTTCCGCCGACAACACAGACACGGCTTCTTACAGATCCCATCAAGGCAAGTATTCGCGATTCTGGGCGGCGAAGACAGCACAGTGAAGCTAGCGGTTTGTGCTTGGAGGTGGATGTCCTCAAAGATGGCCTTGAAACCGTGGCCACCGGTGAGATTGCCAGAATCCCAGAACTGCTGCCATCTTCCGTGTAGAAGCTCCTGAGGGCCCAATGTGGTTAAAGTGACAATATGTCCCATCGGCTCAACACAAATGCAACCCGATTAATATGGGATGATGTTGATGGGTTCCCCGGACAATACTGGATGCTGAGGTCTGCCAGAAGGTGGTGAACGGAAAGCACGAGTCTTGTGTATTTTTGGTGAATGCTAGCTCCTGGCGGCAGCGCGATTTAGTGTGGAAGGTGCGAGCCGCATCCAACGCAAGTTCGCATGGTGGTCGGCAACCAGGTTCTCGCTTTTTTCCCAGCAGCAGCATGAGCGGTTGATCTGGGGCCATTGGAGGAAGTGGTGGTAGACTTGGGCATTTACTTCCAGGCATGTTCGCTTCGCAAGCCAGCATGCAAAGCCGCAGCTGCTTGTCGGTGCAAATGACTGGTTCTACTGCAGAAGCATGCCTGCAGCAGAAAGTCGCAACAGCGCAGGCGAATGCCTTGAGCGAGCTGGAGATTAACATGCAAAGTATCAGCGTGCGTGTTCCCATGTTCACGCTCGACCATTCTGCTGAGCGGGCCTGAGCTCTTGCGCAGCCACTGTCCCAGTCTTGAAAGTCTTGAAAGTGATGTGTTGTTGACTTGTCAGACAGCACTACAAAAAGTGGTGGGCCAAGAAGAGGCAGCAATCTGGAGCAAACACCACAGTTTGGTGTGTGCCTGCTTGATCTTTACCTGGGATCGCCTGTGCTCAGTGTTATTCATAAAATTACAGGACTTTTCTGGCCCCCTTCGGCCCCCGCCCTACGTTGTTTAGTTTGGGGTTTGGGGCTCCCGTCGAACTTAAAAGTCACTCCGCCACGGATTTGGTGCTAGCAGTTTGATCTCGTGCACCCAGACATTCGTAGACTGCAGCAACGATCGTCTCGTGCAGAATCGCAAGACCTTGGAGCTGTGCCTATGCCACAACGGACGCGAAATGTGTTTCATTCTCAGTTTTTCACAACGTGTGGGATCTTTGCTGCATCTCCGGCCAACAATCTAGCTTGCTGCGCAGGTTCGAAACTGAAAGCCAAGTTGGGCCCTCACTTTCTGTGGAACTGAGTTGCAGTTGATGTGCGTTTGCATTCCGGGTCAAAGGTTTCCTGGCGAGAACCAGCTGTTTACCAGCGATACGATCTGGGAGCTCGGTCCCGTGTTCACAGCGCAGAGCTGAGTCGTTAAGCTCCCTTTCCTGGGAAAAGAGAGACAGCCGGGGCCCAGGAGAATTGGCTGACCAAGCCGGTCGCTGCCCTCGCGAAGGGTCAATCTGCCAACGAACAAAGGCCACTGAGTTTCTCATGGGCTTTAGGCAAATTTTGGAGAGTCTCGTTGGTCGCGAGGCTGCAGAACAAAGTCGCGGTCCGTGCAAACGGCACTATCATAGCCACGGGTATGATTCTTCAGACGAACGTCAAAGAGGTGCCATCTGTCTTCACGCTTTCATACGGCAGTTGCTGACCTGGAAGGAGAGGCCTCTCAAGAGCATTGAGGACTTGGAAAGCGAACGGAAGTGCAGGGCTCGGATCTCAAGGTCTGAATACTAGGCAGATGGGCAAAGCCCGCTCTGCAATAGAGATCTGCGACATTGAATTTGCATGGAGCCCCGTCCACAACCACTCATTACCCACAGCACCCGTCGTCGTCTCGATCGACCGATGGCCAAGCTTTGGGCAAAGTGGAACGCAAATTCCACGAAATGCACACTGGCACAAGTTTGTCCTGGAGGGCCAATCTGACAACATCCACAGGCGTGAAATCGGTCGCAGATCAGCTGATGTATTGCTGCTTCTTCTGGTTTCATGTGTCCAGTCACATATTACCCACGACGGTGTTTTGCTTCCGATCCTTGTCCAGGGAAGCCATGCAGACCCTTCCGACGCAGGCACCGGAGCTCAGATACAGCTTGAGAGTGGCAGAGTCCTGTTCGTGACCTTGCCCGCCAACATGTTGCATGAACAAAGTCGTGGCTACTGATGGCTAGACGACCGACTTCTCGAAGAATTTGCAGCAACTGTCAGGGTACTAAAGACGCGCCCAGATGCGCGGTTGGTTTAGTTGCATGTTGCAAAGCCCAGCGTTCTTTCACAGTTTGCTGTGCAGCTTCGAGGTAATGTTGATGGACGCAGCCAACCCAAACAAGATGGCCACCGTCTCAGCGCATCTCAGCATCCAGGTATCGATTCTTTTTCGAAGCAGCGCACGTATAGCTCCTGTGAGGTCGGTTCGTGCCAGATTGAGTTAGACATCATGCCCGTCGAGTATGGTGCTTTTTGGGTGCAGCCCTTCGAGGCCGGCTCACCGTAGCCAGGGCGGTCGATGACAGTGTCGCGGCTGAGCCAGGGCGACAGGTTTGTCGTCGGGCTCTCCTACACCTTCGCTTGGGCGACGCACGGGGCGGCATGGGAGCCCAAGCTAGTCGATGGGGATTCGAAGCCGCGGTGTGTGCCCACCAAGAATCCGGTCCGAGGTTGCCGGAAGTTACTACAGCTTTACGATTGCGCTGCATGAGGTCTCGATTAGAGGCTATGACCTGTTTTTGCAATGATCTTCTTGCAGGTCACTGGAGAGCAGTGCGCCGGCGTCGGAAAACAGTTCACCAGCAAGGACATTGAGGTTCCCTGTGTCCCTGTGCAAAAGAAGCCTCTATTTGCCGCCGCGACCGTTCAGTTGTGCTGCGGGAGATGCCAGGTGAAGTGCACCAAGGATCCACGAGCAGGGCCCATGGACCAATGGAGTTGCGCTTCTTGGGGAGCAGCGCCAGGTTGATGCGCAGCTACACCTGAGGTCAAAGTTCATCGATACTACGGAGGCCACCTGCCTTGTGTCTTCGAGAACGAGGCTTGGCACGTCAAAGGCTTCCGGGACCGAGCCACAAAGGCGAGTCTCGAAAGCTGTTGCAGGTTGTTTGTCCGCCAGAAGCAGCGGGAAAGACAGTGATCGACAGGCACTCAGGTCACACAGCATCGCATAGAGAGTCCATGTACGAACAAAGTGAGCACTTCGGCCCTCGATTCCGAGGCACTCGCTAGCTGGCACGACGCTATGAATCTGCCACACTTCATGGCGCGTGGGGGGAGTGCGGGGAGAGGGTTAGAGAGGGAGGGAGAGAGAGAGGTAGAGAGAGAGAGAGAGCTTCGGGGAAACCCCTGCACCACAGCCCTGGCGAAAGAAAGAGAGCGAAGCACGTCCCCTATTGGCCGGAGAACAGAACAGAACAGAGAGAGAGAGAGAGAGAGATAGAGAGAGAGGTACCGCGGTGAGGGGGGCTTGCTCCTCTCACCCCTAGCCCTGGCGAAAGAGAAAAAAAGAGAGCGGTACCCCGATCGAGCCTCATTTGGGCATCAGTTCTCACCCAGAGACCTAAGGAGTTTTTTTTTTTTTTGGTCGGTGGTCTGCTTGGAGGAGGGTGTGGTCTGCTTGGAAGACGGTGCAGAGATGTACCTTGCAAGTACACATATATATATATATATATATGTATACTTATGTGTATATATTATATGATATTATATTAGAGTATATTACATAATATATTATTATATATCATACTATACTATTAAGCTATATATTATATTAAAATACAATATATCATGTTGTGTTATGTTGTATTATATAAATAAATAAATAAATAAATAAATATATATATATATATATACGCTACCCCCCCTCATGTACCCACGCCTTGTGCTTGAATCGTGTGCGAAAACTCACGTAAATCGTTATTTTACTTTGTATGGTAGCATAGCTGCTCATTGGTTGCAGTGCGCTCTACACGTACGAGAAAGTTCATGTGACNNTGTGACCCAGAAAACGCAACACAAGGACCCTGTTTATGCTGTAGGCAAAAGCCCTAATTTCCTGTGTGTTGTTGTGTGAAGAGAACCGAAAAACCAACGAAACAATGAGTGCGTGCTTTCGCTCCTCTCACAACAAAAGACAGGAACTTAACTAGGAAGCACGCATTAGTTGCTTTTCATTCATTTGTCTTCCCTTATCGAATCTGGCCTTTTTCCTCTAGCCCTACATGAAATAAACCACAGTCAAAGGGCAAGAACACGTGACAGCGGTTAGTTCACGGATCACTGGTGTAGCGAATAATCGGAGGAACGGTGGAAATGAAGTGAATAATTTCGTGGGCGTTTTGTTCTATTTAAATGCAACGAATGGCACGATTTTTTAAAAAAGACAAGCGAAATATGAACGAAGCCAG